AACTTTAACAGTTTTTTTTTTTTTACTGGTGTGTGTGTTTGGAGGTTGATGAGGCTGTACATAGAGCAAAAGCATATCCTAGTGAAAGCTTGGCTGCACTCAGCCGTTCGTTATCCGGGGCCTGGAGAGGTTATCCGGGGCCTGAGGAGATTATCCGGGGCCTGGGGAGGTTAACCGAGGCCTGGGGAGATTATCCGGGGCCTGGGGAGGTTATCCGGGGCGTTGGGAGGTTATCCGGGGCGTGGGGAGGTTATCCGGGGCGTGGGGAGGTTATCCGGGGCGTGGGGAGGTTCTCCATAAATACATATCCCCCGGCAGTCTGCGCCTTATTACCTGATTCTTCAGAGTTGGTTTCCTCTAATACTACTGTTGAGTAGCTTCGGTTCTGGCTGTTATGTCGTTTTTAACTCTTGACTCTCTTCTTGCACTTGGATATTCATGTCTGGCTTCCCTGCTTCTATCCTGTTTTCCTGACGTCATGGATATGAATGACGTACTGACGAGGATAATGAAAAAAGACGCATTGCAGAGCAAACATTCATTGGGACAACGTTTATCAGGTCTTATGGTGATGTCCTCTACACACACACACACACACACACACACACTATTCTCCGTCGACCAATACTGGATGTATTTGTTACCTCTTATGTAGATTAGATACAATGAATTATAATGACTTACACGCGACTAGAGCCAAACAAAATTAGTATAAGCCTTTTTCTCTAATATAAATAATAGGAGCGTTTCACTCATAGGAAGCCCCGAGCTGGTACTCTCGTAGATGCAACTGTCTCGTTGGTGTATAATGTCTGTAGTAAACGATAACTCTGGGCCTCCTACGAGTGAAACAACCTGCACATAATACATAATGGAATCATGGACACGAACAGAGTATGCACACATAGAGGTGAACATAATCAATACATCCTGAGAGTTTAGTTTAATCCATATTTTAGTGATTAAAATATTCTTGACTGGAGGACAAGCTGCATGCAGCCTTAATGACCATCGTGATGAGAGACACCAAATCGGGTCTCAGCGAGGCTATATACACCCAGAGGTGTGTCTCATTGTATATACACTGAATTTATTTTAATACCTATTTAACGCATTAAATTTTTCTTTATTGATAAACCTGTTGCATACAGTAGTCCAAAGGCTACGAGATGTGAGATGTACATGGGTAATGGTGGGACTTTCTTGTACATGGACACTAGCAGAGTGCATCGGAAATGCTATTTTTGTGGCATGTTGACGTGGGTGAGCACGTCTGTTGGAGATTCATAAGTTGCATAAAATAATGATTCTGGTGATGTGCATATATCATATGTGGTAAGACTGTCATTGCAAAAAATTAATTGATGGTGACCTTGGATAATTCACCCAGAATCAGACAGTGACAGACAGGAGTGATATACACGTACCATATTTGTTTATGGATTTTACATATGATTTTTTTTAAATATGTGAAATATTTTAAAATACAGAAAAGTGTGCTAAAAAGTTATTTAATTGCTTATTTGACTTGTAAACGGTCTAAGTCGGACCGAAACGTCGTCATAAGTTTCTGTCGCCGGTGTGCGGGTTATTGGTACAATGTTCCAGTCACGATATTGTGCCTTTTCTTATTCTTTTGACGCGTTATTATGGCTTTATACTCACGACGAAGTTCGTAAATTTCGAACACTTGTTGCCAGGTGTACTAAGGACCACGTTGAAGGACTTAATGAAGCCAGGAGAAAATGCATAATGGTGCTGTAATGAGTTGGTTTGATAGTGTCAACACATCGAAGTCATAATTAAGTAGTTGAAAAGAAATTCGTACCACAGCAACTGAATTTACCCGACACCTTGGGTAAGTAATGAGAATGAGAGTAGAGAAGATACAGCTGATAACAATGAGTAGCTAGCTTGCTATAATAACATAAATCCCAGGATAAAAGAAAATGGTCCCTTCACTAGCATCAAGGAACCCTCTCGCCCCATGAAGGGCCCGCAGCTGTAGAAAAAAAAATTCTCGAATCAGCAGATGTCTCATAAAAACTTCCCGTTTGGGACCCACCTGACCCACCCCGTCTTTGTCCATCCCCAGGAAGCGTTAAGAACAATGCCCTCTTTCTCTTCTTTTACTCCACCTTTTCTTACGTAACTTTTACATAATTTTTGTTAAAACGAGTTGAAAGGCAAATATTTTAATTGTTGAGAAGGAAGTTGGTTGGACGGTGGAGGGAAAAGATGGAGGTGAAGTTTTGGGTAGGAATAAGTAACTTAGGGTGTGGATAGCGATGCGTTCTCCTTGTGTTGTGGAACAAAAGTCCACACAGTGGGCTTTATCGAGTCCCAGACTGATCTGTATTTTATCAAGTCCAAAAAGATCGGTATTTTATATCATTTATCTCCTTGGTGTGTTATGGGTAATGGCGATGACATATGATATAGATACTAAAGATGAGTGTTGCTGGGCGTGTTGCTGATAGTGGGCGTGATAAATGAGAGTTGAGAGGTTGAGGTTAGCTGAGTATGGGAATGATGGGTGAGAGTTATGGGTGTGTGGGCGGATAGGCTTAGGAGTTTGTGGGAAAGATGGAGCAACGAGGCGAGAGGTATGTGGAACTGATGAAGTGAGAGGAAGAAGACATAAACAACAATGTAGACGACTTCAAGAGGAAATTTGACTACTACGGTCACATAGGCTGCGATGGCTACGCAGGCCTGCGGACCGCTACCTGCACCAGCCTGGATGATCAAGCAACAATGAAGCCTGCCCTCAGACCGGGTTGCGAAGAAAACTCGAAACTGGTCATAGGTCTGTCACACAAGGGGAGGGGAATAGCATTGTGAAGTGAGCTAAGCAAGGAAATTTGTTGGAGGTGACAAGGTGTAGCAGGGGAGAGGAAGTCTGTTGGAGGTGGAAGGGTGAAAGTGTTAGGGAGTATGCTAAAGGTGGGAGGGCACAAGAAGACCAACTCCTATACAGTTGCTAGCCACTGCCTCTCAGGAGGCCTCCCTAGCTAGCCCCTGCCTCTTCCTTTTCCTTTCTTCGCTCCGGGAGGAGGAAAATGCGAAATCCATGATCTGCGAGGCTTCCTTATGTGGGTAACATTGGCAGCAGGTAAATTGTTGCAGGATGGATGACTACGATAGCGATCAAGGCTATATGTTGAATACTTTCTGCAAAGAGAGACAGACAGACAGACAATGAATGAGTGATAGACAGACAGAGAGAGAGAGAGAGAGAGAGAGAGTGAGAGTGAGTGAGTTTGTTCCGCTAGCTGCCGGGTAATTGGAATCACACAAAAGAATGAAATCCAAATATTTTCGGCTGCATTTCCTATTTAAGAATTTTGTTCTACGACTCACAAGGTCCCAGATCTCACGTCTTTTCCCTTCCTTCCTCCATGCCTATCTACCGTTTCCATTTACTTTTTCCTTCAATTCCCTCCCTCCCTTCAACCTCCTTCCTCTCACCCTATTTTCTTTAACTCCATTCTTTCTCTCCCCCCCCCACACACACATCAGAGTAACAGATGAACACTATACTGGATCCCTGGCACAACACATGCATTCATGAGGATTCGACCACATGATATTGTAGACATCAGCGGCCATCTCCACTCTGGCTACGATTCTCCCTGCTTCACATTCATCAGGAGGTAAGCGGCCACAGGCATCGAGCGAGTATACGAGCCACACAACTTTAGCTGCAGACCACCACCACACACCTCTTGGCAATGATGGCTGGACACCGGTTTCCTAGCTATTTAAATTTTTTGTTCTGGTTTCGTGAAGTTAATTTCGTGGTATGAAAAATGACAGATCCAGATCAGTGTTCTTATGTCGCTACACCCGTGTGACTTGAAGGACGCAAGGAGTAGTAGTGGCTCGGTCCTCCCTCCGCTAACTTCGAGAGAGACACGTTACCATTCAACACATACCAGCAGCAGCATCTTACTGTCTAAGCAACCGTCCGAAGCAAGTTATTCTGTTTATATATATAGATGGGGTCCACGTTTGGTGTAAATTGTGAGACCCATAGCCTCGGAGAAGTGGATAAAAAGGCTTCAAGGAAGAATATTTGGATTTCTTCCTGAAGCTGTTTGAATATTCTACTTCCCCTACCACCCCATCTTTTCATATTTTTTTTTTACCAATAGGAATATTTTATTACATAATATGGTACAGAAGATTCAAGAGACACATTGTTGATATAAAGGTGGCATATACAGTACATGTTGTTACGTGTGTATCACAGATTATAAGGCGAAAATCTCATCCAGCTCCTCAGAAATGGGGCGCGTGCCCAAAATACAGCAGGCATATATTATATATAAATATATTTATATAAATATATATATAATATATATATAATATATATATATATATACATACATTATTTTAATCTCAGTTGTAGGGAGGCGTAGATAAATAGGCTTTTAAGAAAAATGTTGAAGTATTTCCATGAGGCTGCTTGAATACTTTACCACTACCAGCCAATCTTTTATGAATGTACATATATGTGTTCTTTAGGTAATATATTTTTAGGGATTAAAATATGATTGATTGGATGTGTACATGTGACGTGAAGTGATAATGATCCTCTGACAGCCAAGAGACTTTAAACCTCAATACACAGTAATTTTATTATATTGTTCTACCGTTTATATAACTGAACCGTTTTATTACCTATTATGACCTATATTTTGCAGGTGGGTGAAATATTAATAATATGAATTTAGTAATAATAATATAATTAATAATGATGTATTTCGATTCATCATTCGTCAGTAATATAGTGTTTCACTCGTATGAGGCCACGAGTTATGATTTACTAGAGGCGTAATAAACAAGACTTGCAACTAGGAGAGTACTACCTCGGGACCTCCTACGCGTGAAACATCTCGTTCATTATGTTGGAGGTAGAAGAATGCATAGCATTTGCTTCCTCTTTAAGCTACAGTTGTGAGTTATTTGCTGACCTGATGGTTTCTCCCCGGCAGGTGTGATGGTGCGGGTGTGGGCGTGATGGAGGGCAGGTTGGCCCCTGAGCTCACCATCTACTCCGCCCGCTACGCTTCACCCCCGCCTCGCCAGAGGCCAGCCCACCCCCATTACCACGCCCACGACTATGGTGGCCCGCCCAGACATCCCCCTGGGCCCATGGTGCAGCTGGGCGGGCCGCTCCTGACCCTGGCAAGCGGGCCATTTTCAGGGCCCATATCGCTACCGCAGGGGCTTGGGTACTGGGGCCCCGGGGTGGTCCGCCACCACTTCCTACACCATCATCACCACCACACTTTTCCCCCTTATCCGCCGTCACTGCCGCCGCCTCCGCCACGCCGCCTCCACTACCATCCACACGGTCACCAGTCCATGCCTCTCATGGGTCTGCGGGAACCGCACCCGTCTGCGGGAAGGTGGGAGGATAACCCATGCTTCTCGCGGCCGCCGTATACCCACCCCGTAGTACCGAAGCAGGAGGATGGTACCCGTTTTGTTGTGATGGGTACCCGCGATGCCCCAGACGCCCAGCCTCTCTCCAAGAATCCTTTCCTCACTCAGGAACAACAGAGACAGCAGCGCAACAACAGCAGCAGGAGGAGGGTGTGTACTCATACGCAGGTGAGGGAATCTTGTCCCCTGCCGACGTTATCCGTGCCCGGGCCGCCATGGACGACTCCGACAGTTACGGAGAATCGCTGGCATCGGAGAACATCTATGAGGAGATCCCCGAGAACTGGGTTGGAAGTTGGTCTCGTCGCTCGCTCGTAGACGAGGTCATGGACGAGTACGAACGAGTGCAGGCAGGTCACCGCCGCGTGTTGTCAGCACTTAACCTAGATGTGGAAACACTCATCAAGCCTGCTGTCCAAGATGGTACCGCTTCCCCGGACTCCGGACTTACAGTATCCGCCTCAGACTCTTCCTGTGAACCGAACCAGCTTAACTACGATGTGCCTCGCCCGCGGGTCTCCGTCAGCCGCAGCGAATGGGGCTTCGGAAGGTCGTCGCAAAGAAGCAAGTCATCACCCAAAGAGAGGGACGACAGTGCAGATAAGTCGCCTAAGAACAAGGGTCGCTTGGTGAAGTGCGAGTCTCTAGACCTGAAGGATGCCCTGATTAGGAGACCGTCAGGGGGACGAGGTCGAGGTTTCAAGGAGAAGCTCGGAGGCGTCAGAGAAAAGATGGAGAAGAGAGGGTGGCGCTTTCCCAACTTCTCCAGGAAAGGTAAGTGTCTTAGGTGCCTTCATGCATTCAAGACACCTTTGTGAAGGACTTTCGGTTCTTGAACTTTGAACACTGTAAACAGCGAAACGTCTTTCAAAAAGGTGCCCTAAGTGAATGCAATCGTGTCCCATTCCCTCAAATTGTCGGCAGTCATTTGCCTTCTTCCTACAAGTTCTTCTCGCTCATTACCGCTCATTTTTTTTATTGTTACTGCATGACCTTTACGGGCTTAATACTTTCCCATGAATGTAATGAATGTCTAACCTATTTTTTAAAGATATCCGAAGCTCTCTCAGCAAGAACATTTCTTGGAAGATGAGAAATAGCCAGTCACATCTCTGGCTTCCTCAACAACAGCAACGTTATAACGATCTATAAAGAAAATTACACGAAACTTAGATTTTGACAGGTGGTATTTGACGTAACACGAATCTCTAACGGGTTGGTCCAACGAGTGTATACAAGACACACGCTTTAACAGAGGGAAAAAAGAGGTACAGGGCGAGCTGAAAATGTCAGCGGGAGTCCACTCGCCTCCTCGACCTGACGAAGGTTATTACACCACTCCATGTTCTTACTGGAAGCTCGTGTCCACGATGCCAGTTATACCTGTGGACAAGAGCATTCAGTTATTTCTTGCACTTTTATAGTTAACGGTGTTAGTGTTTTGCTGCAGCAGTCCAGCTAACCTGAGGTACCAGTAATATGCTCTGTGATATACAGATTACTATTATTATTATTATTATTATTATTATTATTAATCAGTAGTAGTAATAATATTACTATATGAAACGCTAAGTCCGTGTGGGTCATTTAGCGCAAGGAATGGTGGAGACTCGATCCTCCGTGTGCTTGGCACGAGACACTCACGCTTACTAGTTGATATAATGGGAAATACTCTGTGTTGGCAGAGAGTACCATTCATCTCTCTCTCTCCTCCTCCTCCCTTTCCTATTTTGGGTAATCTCCGCTTCTTCCATACCAAACCTGGATATTATTCTCTCTCTCTCTTCCCTTTCGCATGAACCTCTGACATATCCATGACATTTACTGGATAAGCAAGACACACATGCATCAGTTGTGCATCTATATTGTTAAAATTTTTCGCCCGCTCCATAATAAAGGTAACAGACTGCTGCACATAGCAGTGTATACCACGAGTCACACTCAGTGTACATGACCAACCATCCGCCCATCGCCAGTTCAGATAATATTTCCCCTTTCCACTACGTTCTATCGGGAATCTATCAATTTTTCTCTCTGTTATTACCTCTGTTGTTTCTGTCTTCAGCGTCACTTCGTAACTGGTAATAGATCCGATGCTGTGGACAGTCAGGTTAATATTTAGCTACACCTCTTTCCTCATCCTCCTTGATAAATGGTGAGGGACTCATGATCCTTGGAATTGGACCCGATTCCATTTCTCCAAGCTCTGCATGACCCCCTACGGCTTTGGTACTGCAGTGATAGAATATACGACAAAACCATTAGGGTCCTGGTAGCGAAACCCCTACATAATGAACGCCTTAACCCTCATCGTGATTTTGTCTACACCCTACAGATTTGGCGTTTGTTTCCGACTACAGTAACAACAGCAACAACAATAATCTACCCCCTCATCACATTGACTCTCACGAGTTAAGAGCTTCAGAATGTTTTAGCCTCTTGTTCCATACTTGGCTTACGGTTAGGTTCCTCCGCCTACGCATAACAGCCACAGCTTGGCCCTTTCTGAACAACTCAGTATGCCTCGCTGTTAGTGGACGGAGTATCGAACCACCACCAATCCTTGTGCTGAATCAGCCCCACACACACACACACACACACACACACACACACACACACACACACACATACACACACACACACACACACACGCACCAGGGATTATCGCTTCATATAAATTTAATGATATGGGGAAAAAAAATCACACCAAAAAGAGTGATTGTCAATATGAACAAGAATCTACATTCATGAACTTGCTTAAGTATCTTTAACTGTGGCATTTTTTTCAGCTTCACAAACTCGCGTTGTATAGTGATTTCTTTAACACATACATACGTACATTACACACACACACACACACACACACACACACACACACACACACACACACACACACACTCGATCGAAGACCAGGCAGAACTACAAAGGGATCTGGACAGGCTGCAGACCTGGTCCAGCAATTGGCTCCTGGAGTTCAATCCCACCAAGTGCAAAGTCATGAAGATTGGGGAAGGGCAAAGAAGACCACAGACGGAGTGCAGTCTAGGGGGCCAGAGACTACAAACCTCACTCAAGGAAAAAAATCTTGGGGTGAGTATAACACCAGGCACATCTCCTGAAGCGCACATCAACCAAATAACGGCTGCAGCATATGGACGCCTAGCAAACCTCAGAACAGCATTCCGACATCTTAATAAGGAATCGTTCAGGACCCTGTACACCGTGTACGTTAGGCCCATATTGGAGTATGCGGCACCAGTTTGGAACCCACACCTAGCCAAGCACGTAAAGAAACTAGAGAAAGTGCAAGGTTTGCAGCAAGACTAGTCCCAGAGCTAAGAGGTATGTCCTACGAGGAGAGGTTAAGGGAAATCAACCTGACGACACTGGAGGACAGGAGAGATAGGGGGGACATGATAACGACATACAAAATACTGAGAGGAATTGACAAGGTGGACAAAGACAGGATGTTCCAGAG